TTTTATTTGACATCACCTCTTTCAAGAATTTAACATATTTTGGCATCTACGACAATACATCAAGAAGAAGAATGTTAATATGTATTTTTCTAAACACCTCTAAAAATTTTTCAAATTRTTTATCCAAGTTAGCTTTCAAAACTCTTTTAGGGTAGGGGAGAGGAAGTTTAATAGCATCTAAATTGAGTTTACGTGTACTCCCTTTGATCTCCATTTGAGAATCGGCTACCTCAACTTTTTGATCATCATCCTTGATCTCACCAATAGTCTTTCCACTTCTTAAGGCAATGGCATTCACTTGCTCCCTTGGGTTCTTCTCTGTATTGATAGGCAATCATCCCTCTCTTCTTTCTGACAACATGCTCACAATCTGCCCCACTTGAATTTCTATGTTCTTAATAGATGCCTCTTGATTTAAGAATCTCTTTTCGTGATCTTGGAACTTTGCTTCAGCAGTATTAATGAACTTAGAAATCATGTCCTCTAAATTTCCCTTCTCTTGTGGGGGCGGCTGTTGTTGAAATCCCATGGGTGCTTTTTGTTGGTTGTTATTCCACGAAAAATTCGGATGACTCCTCCACCCTGGGTTGTAGGTATTCGCATAAGGGTTGAAATTTGTCCTGCCACCATGAGAAACAAAATTAGCACATTCATGTGAAGCAAAAGAACTTCCTACCTGACAATTAGAATTTATATGTCCTAATTGGCCACAAAGATCACATGGATTACAAGATGGCATATTTATTGCAGCAACACTAAGATTGTCTAATTTTTTATTCAAACTAGAAAGCTGAGCAGATAAAGCTTAAAAAGAATCTAGATGATGCACTCCCCTTCGATCAACTCAGTCATTATTCCATTGGTAGCTATTCGATACCATCTCTTCCACTAGATCATAGGCTTCCTCTAGAGTTTTCCTCATGATCGTGCCTCCTACAGCTGCATCAATAATGGAGCGATTAGATGGAGTAATACCATTATAAAAAGTTTGTATTTGACGCCAAACTGGTATTCCATGGTGAGGACACTTCCTAAGCATCTCTTTAAATCGTTCCTATGCCTCATAAAAAGATTCCCTCTCTAGTTGAACAAAAGTAATGATATCATTGATCAATTTTGTTGTTTTAAGGGAGGAAAATACTTGGTCAAAATTTTTTGAGTCAAGTCGTTCCAAGTAGTGATACTTCTTGCAGGAACTGAGTTAAGCCAATCCTTAGCTCTATCACGTAATGAGAATGGAAAAAGTTTAAGCCTAATAGCATCATCGCTAACTCCATTATGCTTGAATGTGTCACATATTTCCAGGAAGTTAACAAGATGTGCATTAGGATCATCACTCGGCAACCCACTAAACTGAATACTCGTTTAGATCATTTGAATGATTGCAAGCTTGATCTCAAAATTATTGGCTTGGATTGTTGGTTTGCAAATGCTAGAAGTAGCCCCATCAATTGTTAGACAAGCATAGTCCAAAAGAGTTTGATTTGCTTCGTCTGCCATCTCTTCCTTAACTTCTTCTGCTAGTTCGCCTCCAACCCTCTCTCTCTTTACTTTTGTTGGCTCTTTGCAGTATGCGAAGGGTTCTCTCTATTTCAGGGTCAAATTTTGCTAGTTCTTCGCCTATAATCTGAACACAGCAAGAATTTGAACATAACACATTAAATAAAGAGTAAAATCCAAATTAACCAAGGTTAACAAATTCTAATATTATTTTAGGATAAAATCCCTGGAAACGGCACCAAAAACTTAATAGCTATAATTATATAACCCTAGCAAGTGCACTAGTTATCAAGTAGTATAAAGATATCGTTCCCACGAGGATTTAACAAAATAAGTATTAGAACTATAGCTTCACTCAATTATTTGAACAACCGAATTGTAATAAGAGGAACTACTGAAAATTAAAGATAGAAAAAAAAAAGAACAAAAATAAAAACAAAGGCAATCAACGACTGAACTTGCAACGATTTAATTGAAAGCGCTAGGACTATTGGTCCACCTAACCATCCCAATGAACATCAATGTATTAAATTAACCAAGATGATTTATTATTTTCATAAGCTGAAGTTTTTCCTAATTTATTTAATATTCCCTCACAGGATATATCAAACCTACTTCTATCAAGTAACCATTCGATTCCTCGACTAGAATTCTCGAGATAGAAAGTGCATTAAGTTCTATGAAAAACCTGTATCATCAGAAGAATCATGTATATATATTCATATATACCATTCAATTCACACTGAGTTATTTAGTCTATTATATGAATTCTTCTTCCGATTCATCCACATAAACCAAATCAACTAAGAGGTGGCTAAACTCCTAATCGCATTACGCATAATAACTCATAGACAATATGAAAATAAAAACAACTTGATTGAATTAAAAAAAAAATCAATCCATGGTCATGGTTAGGCTTTCCATACCCCTAGCTATAAATAAACTAATTCATGATAAAGGAATTTAAACAAACAAGGTATAAGAAAGAACTCATGATGTCGCCCTTGAGGTTGAGATCGATGAGCTTGTCGTTGCCTTCCTCCTTTTCTCCTCCTACGTTGTCGACTGCCTTCTTGAAGGGTGAAGCTCTCTTGGAGGATTTCTCCTTGATTGCTCTAGAGATTGATTGATGCCCTGGTGCTAGTCCTCCCCCCCCCCCCCCCNCCTTTATATAGCTTTAAAATGATGGGTTGTTTCCAATTCCTTCTTGGAGTTCTTCCTCAAAAATAAAAAGTCCTAATCTAATCCTATCCTTATCTCTTATCTAGTAATTTCAATCTCCTTTATCTTTCTAGAATTACATCAGAAAATTAAATCTGATAGGACTCTTTGCAGTTTCTTATTCTTGCATTCGTATTAGGCTTCCTCAACGAATTGAGTCGCTACAAGGCTTCTCTGCAAGTTGGGCTTCTGCTGCGAACTGGGCTTCCCTGCGAATTTGCTCAGACTTCAGGCCCGATTTTGACTTCAATGCAACCCGAATCTATCAAAACTCAAAACATGAAAGTTGTAGAGTTCTTATCTTTCCAATACATCTTGAATCATCTCAATCGAAGTTCGGATGGGGGAGTTATGCCCAGATTACTATGCGGTGCCGAAACTGTGCAAAATTACCCGATTAGCCTTGTTTTTCTCCCGACGCCTTCTTTCATGCCCTGAATCGAAATACAAGAATAATAAGTCCAATTAAGTACTAATTAAGTGTAAATGTCTATATATTTAGGGATAAAAATATGATAATTTTTATTCTCATCAATTATGTCTTTTGTGCAGTACCGACTTCATCTAAGTTGTGTATGGACCGTAAGCTATGCCAGAGACTGGAGAGAAATAGGATAAAAATATGCTAAAGAGATAGAGGGAAAGAGCTATTTCGAGAGTGCATGGGATGATGGAGAGAGAGACTTCAAGGGAAATATTGAACCCGTGGAAAAATCCCCATAAGAGGCTATTTTACTATTTCAATTCTTTTGCAATTAATGATGGAATCTATATTTACTTTAAGTTTCATGCTTTAATGTTTCAAGTTAGCGACAGAATCACTTCCATCGATAATGATGGGTTTTGAAACAGGCCACTAAATTATCATGTTTTATAAAATAATAATAACAGTACATAAAATTTGACATTATTAGTGATTTATAATGAATTTTTGAATCAATCACTAATTATTGGTTGTTAAAACTCTTGTTTCTTGTGGTGATCTGGGAAGCAATAGAGAAAGGTCTATCCATTAGGGATAAAGCAAATAAAAGAGCAATAGACCTCCTAAAGAGAGGTCTGATCCAAGAATAGCTTGGACATCTGCCCAATAAATATGGTAGTATCTAATGTTTTTGCATGAAGGATCACAATTAAGATTATGACTAGACTTTGAATAATAAAGAAAAACAAGACATTCAACATTTATCTGTTGATGTTCCTCACACCATTAGCACTATGAAGAAGAAAGAAGAGGCAACATATGAAAAATCTTGTAATGATGGTCTTTCCTTAGAGGTTCTATGAAAGGAAGCTACTCCTTCACATTCTCAAATTCAGTCTCAATAGGAGAGAGATGTTAGAACATCGTTCACAAAGTATGGAGACATCACTTGGGACATGTTGTATCAAGAAAATGAAGTTGCATCAATTAATCTCTAAGCAACCAGTGGATTCACTCCATCAAAGGAAGTAAGCATAATAAGGTAATCTTAAGACCTGGCACTCTGATTAAAGGTAGTGTTTGTAGAATATAGAATAGGAGAAAAGTAAGAAAAAATCTAGGTAATTCTGTTAAGAAAGTAAATTCAAAAGGGAAACTCATTATTCAACTTAAAAGAGATCTAAATTGGGTAAAATTGACTAGCTTAAGTTTAAAGAAAAATCTTGCAGTCAATCTAAGGTGATGTCTACATCTCAATCCAATCATAAACCCATTAAATGATCTAACCATTCATGCTCTTAGAATAGGCATAATAAAATTAATAATTTAAACAACTTACAGATCAGCTCAAGATAGCATTATTTCAGGTTTTATGTTTAATCAACTGACAACTATTGGCAATTGATTGATATGGGTTGGTAGTCGACTATATATGTAGTCTATCAACACCTAGGTACCACTTAGCTAGTGCCCAAGCCTATCCAAACACTTCACTATCCACTAGTCAAACTTTGCTAGTCTCATAATGGCTTCTCCATCAAACATGAAAAGGCAATGTCTAGCATGGAAAGATCGAGGAATGGATAGTAAAGCACCCAACCTTCAATCCATTAAAGACAAAAAGAGGTATGTCGATACCTTTTTCCATAGAAGAATCCTAGATGGAAAGTGGGTAGACTTTGATGCTTTAAATTAAGGAAGGAGTAAATGCTCTAGCCTCTTTGAGTAAGTAGACTAGTATAGAATCTTAAAAAACAAGAAACTTGTCTATTACACATTAGTAAGACACTTCTACAATAGTTTCAATATGGGGATTACTGACAATCAAATCAACTCATTTCTGAAAGGGGTTAGAATATGGTTAAGAACAAGTTGAGCTAGGAGACCTATTAGGAATCTCAAATTAGAGACCATTGTTCTATTCCAAGAAAGAATGGCCAAATAAGTTTGAAGTTGAATGTCTTAGCCCTATACAAAGTTTTTGAGGACTTGAAATCAACGAATGGTATAAACCCAAAACTAAGAGCCTTAGTATCTACATGAAGATGATTTCATTACAACAGACTTGATCTGTAGTGGCAGAAATATTCGACGCTATAGACCTATAGTGGCATAATTACAGCAGATTAGCATCCGTCGCTGTAAGTCGTGTTGGTATAGGTTTTAGTGGCAGATGTAATAATCGCCGCAATAGCATAATCAACAACAGTAGTTATATTCGCCGCTAAAGACTGTTATATTTGCCACAATAAACCTATGCTTTGAGATATAGTGGCAAATATTTCCACTACAATAAATAATTTCTAATGGCTATTTTCAATTGTGATCACACATATAGCGGCAAATATATCCACTGCTATATGTCCAAAAGTTATTTTTAGTGGTAGATATACCTGCCACTATAGGTACAAATTTTATCAATAGTATTTGTTGTTATTATTTTCCCATTATAGATTTTTGCCTTTTCCAACCTATAACATATTTACATGAAAGACCACCTCTTCTATCTTCACATTGCATCAAATTTGCAAATAAATTTCTATAAAAATAATATATTAATTAAAAGACTAAAAGTACATGAAAATATAGTCTCCATACATCAATGTGTAAAAGATGTATCACAAATTTCATTTTATCTTGTTACATATAATAAAACATAATAAAAATGAAAAATCTTGATCTCAAATCTCTTCATCCATATCTATTGTCATTCCTTACATTTGCATTCAATTTGAAGGGAAAAAAAAATAAGATAAAAATAAGATTTTGATTTTATAAAAAGAAATAAAATCTAACATAGAATGAAAACCTACATAAATTGATGATCATACAACATTTGCAAGGGTGCCCATGGTCCATCCACTCAATTACTACTTGATAAGTAAACCATTGAATGTAGTAATTGGGTGTGGTATCCACCCAATTATGACCTAATAAGTCAGCTATTGAATGCAGTCCAAAAGATCTCTCTACTTTTCATTTTTCTCTCAATTATTTGTTTTCAGTTCTCCCTATGAGATCCTCAAAAGCATTAACTAAATCAATCACAATTACATTAGGAAATGAAACACATGACAATAATCTTACAAATGGAATAATTAGAACAATTAGAGACAAATGATTAAGTATTAACTTATACTAGTATCCTACGTGATTAGGGATAAACCATCACAACCTAACTAATCCCAATAACCATCACTAGGATAGAGAGATCCTATTATCATGCCAACAAAGCCATTGGTATACTAACCATCAGATTAAGACCAATTAATAAAGGTTCTTTAAGAAAAGGGACCTAATCACCTAAAGCAACAGGAAAGATAGTTTTTTTTCTCATGGCTATAGTATATTCTCAAAAACTGGCCAGCTAACTAGCTAGCAATTTATGATGCATATTTGTGGTAACCTAGACTTGGGCAAAATATTCATGTATCTTGCATATATATGTATCTCATATGTATGTCAAAGAATTTAACTTTAAAGGCAAAAGTTTTCTTAAGCATGATAACCATGTCCTTTTTATATATAACTATTTAATTTACCTTGACTCTTAACTCTAAGAAAGAAAAACATTTGGTACAAGGAAATAGAGAAGTTGGGCCAACCCAATACTAACCCAACCAGAAAACTTCGCTTTAGTAGAGGTTTCAATAGCTTGGGTTGGGTTAGTGTTGACCTTGACCTGACCTAACCCAGCCTAACTTGTACCAATAATTATTATTCTTAAGACTAAATTATACAAAATTGAAGAAAGAAGCAAGGTAACAAAGAGGTCCAATAGCTAATAAGTATATATTGTTTAGAAAGAGCAAATAGACACATATCTAGTAAACATACGAACCTTCCATGGCATGAGATGCAAAGAAGATCTAATCTGAACACCTCCAATGGCAATTCTCCATTCTAGTGTGAACAAAGCGAGGAGACCTCTGTTCAAGGAAGACAAGACCAAAAAATGTAGAACAAGCCAATATAGGCTTAATCAAACAATGTTCAATTATAAAAGGAATCCTAAAATGATAAGAAAATATGAGATTATAATTACTAGGATGGTAATATTTTTAAAGCAGAAAGGTTCCTTTCCACCAACCTTGTACAAGAGGTGAATATAGACAGGATCAGTACCTACTTCGTGGAAAAACATTGCTTGCTACAGCCTCCCATAATCTTGAAAACATATGCTTTAGGAGACCTCATCTTAATCTAGCCATCAACTTGATGAATTTATGCTCCTTATCATGTGTACGGCATGAATAAAGCTTTGTAACTAGTCTGCAAAATATAGTAGTTTACAATAGCTAATTAACCAACAATAAAAACAAAAGAATATTAAAAGATTTGGATAAGGTAGGCTATGGCTACTACAAGGAATAAAAAGCAAAAGGCTCTGAATACCTTAGGATTCATACTAATATTGTATTCCTATTTGAGCCTTTTGGAGGTTTGTCATTACTCCTAAATTTCTTCTAAAGCTACTAAACCACAAGAAGGGCAAAATTTATTGTTCACAATAATATTAGTGAGAAGAATATCTAGAAAAATACACTATAAATAATTCAGAATCCACAAAAAAAAATCTGGATTTGATTGGAGTGAATAAACATATTTGTAATTAAAATGCCAATAGGAACAACCTGAGTTACTTTGAGATACTTGGGCTTCATGCTTCCATAAATGATGTCGAAGGTGAAGGCTGAAGGATGAGCTACCTACAACAATAGGAAAAAGCAAAGAATGGAAAGTTTCTATTCAATGGTCTAATAATGATATTTAGTTATAACTATATATAGAGAAATGAATCTTGACCTATAAAAGGCACACACAAAGGACCATTTCCATGATTGCCAACTCAGATTACAGTGTTCTAAAGAGAACCTACAAGAAAATCCTTGTAGCTACAATTACCAAAAATTTTCACTTCTCAACATTCTTGGGATTCCAAGAGTACTCTTTTGGAGTAGGTCTAATATTGTACTTCCAAGAGGGTACTGACCTTAATTTGAAGTTCTGTTTCCATGTAACATCATTAAATTAGAAGACAAATCATGAAACCAACTACTCAAGAGAAAATCAGGATTAATATTTTAAATAGTCAAAAGCATAACTCCAAAAATTTGTAAAAGATGCAAACATTGAAATTCACATGGCAGATAGTTTAGCTAGGGAGGGAGTGGGAAGATATTTTATTGTGTGGGGGCACTAGGCCTAGGGTACAGCCAAGAGGATGGTGTTTTCAATTTTTCTGATTTGTTTAGGTTAATATATGCTGGTTATTGTGTACTCTTCTTTTGGATCTCTTTCAAGAGTTGGGGCCCCTCTATGTTCTTTTCTCTTCACTTTTGTTAACAAAGTTCCTTTGAGAGCCATGCAGCCATAGATTTTGGCTAAAGTTTTTCAAATTTCAATAATTTATCTTCTTTCATAAATTTATATCTTTAAAGCCTATATGAAATGCAACAATAACTTGGTTGCATTATGGTAGTATTTTTTTATTTAATTTACTTGGATACTTGGGAATTCAAATGCTCTAGTTCAATAACTATGTTCCAGTTATATTGCCTTAAAAAGATTACCTATCTATGGATGATAGTGATGGAAGAGATAAGTGAGGAAAACCTTGCTATACTTGAACTTGAGTTGCTAGAGGCACTTGGGCATGATGATGAGATTTCAGGAATGCTTAATTCAAGATGGTACAGAAAATGATGTTGAGTTTGATATAGAAGAAGAGGGCAACGATTGCAGGGAGGAGGAGAAAGTGGGGTTGGTAGGGAATATTATAGTGGAGAGTTCCTTTTGATCATTTTTTTTTCTTTTTCACCAAACAAACTATACGGATCAAATTTATTTTACCTTACATCTTAAAAAAAAAAAAAAAAACTCTCAACTAGTCAACCATTTAAGAAAAAGAAAGACCCAATAGTAAAAGGGATGCCAATTGATACAAAATCTCAACCCATGCTACATCATGCCTATGGATTCTAAAGATTCATTCTCCTAAGTATGACAGGGGGTCCCACACCATATATACCTTATCTTAGTGCTGCCCCACTATAGTACATCCCCCTTTCTGGAATCCTACGATTAGGATCAATCAAGTCATTAGTTTTGTACAAGGTTTACATCTATCATCCATTAATTCCCTCCAAACCTGCAATTATACAATTAATTTGCTATACCACTATAGGAGAGGTAACCATTAAAAGAGTTTTTCCTGATTATTCCCAATATACCTCTTCATGACATTCTCCATTTGCCACATCTTTATGCAAGTACTTGTAATATTAATAAACTTTGCTCCATGCAAATCTAGAGCATTTTACTATCAAAAAGTTAAATGTTAAGAATTGTCATCTATAACTTTTTTCAACCTTGAAATTGCTATTTAAAAATAAAGGATGTGATAATTATAAAGATATTATGCCAAGGAATTTCTTAAGCCATTGGAATTTGTACTCCTTTAGTAAAATCCCAAGGTAGAAGTAATAGGAGGATGTTTCAAGATATTGACACACTTCAGGCATTCCCAAATCTGACTGCCCAAGTTTAAACAGATTCTATAGTACACATTTGATTTGCTTAACCAAATTTCCAGCTAGAATGTACTTGTTCATATCCAAAATGTAGTGAGGGAACAAACAAACTATGTTTGTCAAATACCAAGACTTACTATCATTGTCTACAACACTCGTTGCTTTAAATTTTAAGGGATCTTGGAAAATGTTAGTAACACAAGGCTCTTCAATTGGTCAAATGAAACATTAACAATTTTGATCTTGCCAACCCCTTCATCTCATCCCTTAAACAAGTCCATTCCATCTATAACTTTTAAAATGAGCCATCTCCTTACTCGTCGTCTTAAGATCAGCAGAGAATGCCTTAGCTTGGTTAGCATCTCTTTTGTGCATATGTTTTCTGGTGTCTAAGAAGGATAATTTAATCCATCTATCCTTCAAGCTTCCAAAGCGGTTCCCAATGGACACTATAGCCCAAAATTGGTTCTAGGTTTCATTTACATTAATTATTTTTCTTTCCTGTCCCTTTTATCTTATTTTGAGCCCAAAGAACTTTTGTCAAACACCTTGAGTGGCAAAGTGCGGAAAATTTACGTTATTTTATTAATACTTAATTTTTAGCTTTGATGATCACTAGTTAATCAAGAAAACAAAACTTAAAACTTAAGATGAACCACCAAGAACAAGGAGCAAAGAAAAGGAACTAAGAGGACGCATATAGATTCTACCTTTTAAAGTTTTTCAACTTTCTCTACACCACATATGAACCTGCCCAACACCAGACGCAACAATATTTGTTAAGGTAATAAAAGCATTGAAGTTAAAAGTTTGAGATAAGCAAAATTAATATAGAAAATAACCACATGAAAATTAAAAAAATAGAAAACATCCAACCATTAAGAATGAGAATAGAACATGATTCGGCGAAAATTAGGGGAGGATTTTTTTCACATGATAAGATACCCAAATTCAGCTATTTTGAATGTCATGCAAATCCTCCATGTGGTTGCCCTGTTGAAACACTTTTTTTTCCTTTGGCTTGATCTTGTGCAAAGCACTCTTCAAACTTAGAAAAAGACGATAGTGCTTGGTCGCCCTGTTAAATCAATGAATCAGACTTGTTAGCAAGAGAAAAAGGAGGAAGAGAATGAGACTACCGGTAAGTTGCATTGATTTGGTGGGGTCGATTTGTTTGCAGAGGAGTTGTCTTCTATGAATGAGAACGCTGGCAAAGTTTCCCTTAACAATTGGGAAATTCATATTGTTCACTCAACCACTATTCGAGTGGATGCATGATGCCGACACTAGATGCCAGAGACACTACTAGATGTAGAACCACTTAATTCGAGCGGATGCACGGTAGAGGTAGCCTTCTTTCGTTGGTCTTCAAACGTACACAAGCAGTTCATACAAAGCAATAGAGCAAATGTAACAATTCTGTCAAAGTAAAAACCCTTGTTTCTCAACAGCTTTTCCTTTGCTTAACTATGCGTGGGGGGGATATACCCGCCCAATATTTATCAATTTTTCATTTCTCAAATTTTTCTTATTATTTTAATTTAATCGTCAACTATCTATAGTGGTAGTTGCCATTATGTGCTGCTAAGAAAGGCATATACTGACAATTACATAATCGTCGGTATATCATCTAGGTAGACCTGTTCATGGGCCGGGGTAGCCCGATGGTCCGGCCCGCATCCCGGTCGGGCTTGATCATGTAATTAGGCCTGCGGGCCTGACCTCGGGCCTAATACAGTAAGTCCGATTGTGTTTTAGGCCGGGCTCGGGATTTGTCAAAAAAGCCCAGCCCGGCCCAGCCCGACTCAACATTATATATTTTATAAAATATATAATATGTATTTTATATATTATATAAAATATATAAATAATATAATATTTATTAAAATATATATATACATTTTTTATTCTTTTCTTTATACTCTTTCTCTCTCTCTATTCAGCCGCTAATAATATGGGCTAAATTTCGGACTCAGGCCCAAGTTATAAGCCCGATGGTCGGGCCGGGCTCGGGCTCGGACCTTAAAAAATTCTGTTAATACAGAGTGAAAGCCCGGCCCGACCCATGAACAGGTCTAGTGGCAGTTATACTTTTGTCATTATAAAATCCTCCACTGTAACCCAATTTTGTTGTAGTGTTTACATAATTGTAGAAAAAGCCTTACTCCCAAAGGATGTCTCTTTCGATCATATCTCCATAATAGAGTTACTACTATTGTAGTATATCAAGACAGGAACCCCCATTAGTTTGCCCTACGTCAGAATGAGACATATGGACGAGAGTGCAGCAAGTGGTACAACCTTGTTGCCCTATGAAATGTTGTTGAAGAGATGTTTACGGGACTTAGAGTAAATATGTTGAATGAGTTGAACATTGGTGTTGAGGGTTGCAAAATAATTAAAATATCAAAATCCTAAAACCTACGAATCTCAAGAAGAGTAGAGAAGGGGTATAGGAAGGAAAGAAAAAGACTGTAACCTTAATTAGTCCCATATATGTGGACTTAGAGAATTTTTTAGAATGAAGTTAGTGGGCACCAATTGTCCTATCTTTCAGATATAAATTTTGAAGACCCCTCCCTCTTACATCATCCCTCACTGACACTACAACTTGAATAACATCTCAATAACATGACCGGTAGGATGGTTAAGATGCAATAGATGATAGTTAGCCTAAATGAGAGGATATCTTATGAAGATGAAGAAGTGCTCTTGAAGTTGAGAGAAATGGAAGCTCGAATGCAAAAGTTACATGACAAATAGCTCAAATTAGTTTAAATAATTGGACAACTACAATCGAAAGTTGTAAATCTCAAGGATGAGCATGAGAAGCTAGTTTCACTTTCTACTAATCTTGTATATCTAGTGATTGATTGCTTGGGTCATGCAAGAAATAAGCTAGAGGTAGAGAAAGATGAAATCCATTCATTTCAGGAAAGAATGCTTTGTGCTATTGAGGAACTAATTATGACCGGTAGGAAAATAAGAGATCTAATGATTCAAAAATGATCTAAATAGCTTTTCTCCTATCGAATGAATGTATATTTTTAAAATATGAAAATTGTGTATTGTATATCTAATTTTATATTATGCTCAGAATGGCTACTTAAAATAGTAGTCTTTATTACCAATGAGCCTTAATTGTTTTCACTACAATTCACTTGAGATAGATAGCTCAAAAGGCATCACAAACCAAAAATGCACTTATCTCAAGAAACCTAGCTCCTGAAACTAATCTATAGGTGCCACAATCCACTTGTTTTAGAAATTAGTGAATACAATTTACGAGAAAGACCAAGTATAATTGTCTTAATAGGGGAAGCTTGCTTTAAAACAAAAGCTATATGTTGGCAAATTTGCTTATGTTCGGCTATATCTATATATATATAACCATATATTCTCTCTTTATATTTGAATTTGTTATATATTGATGATGCGCGATCTGGTCATTCCTAACTGGCAGGGGCTATGCTCCTATCTGGCGACGGACAAGGTACTTACAGAGAAGAAGGTGAAAGATTCCCGGAGAGCTCTCCCAATGAGACCACCCCAATGCTTAAGTTAGAACTCGGTGGAGAACTCAGAGAGTTGCAAAGAAAATAGGGGCTAACAGTGAAGATGCGCAATTACCTTTTCTCTTGGGGGTTGGAGCCCTTATATATTAATGTCTTGTCAAATCGGGTGTAACCGCCTCTGATTCTCTACTACAATCGTTATTTGCCAGAGCTGAGTTGATTGGCGCAGGTAACCGTCGCAGGGTATGGCCCTGTCAATCGAGAAATGTTTTTCAGAGTTGTCAGGCACGACGCCACTTGACGAGAGATGTGGGCGCAGTCCTCTGGATTGGCAGGTGCCGCACCGTCAGACAAGGGATGTGGGAGCAGTTTGACGGGCACGGTCTGGTCAGATAAGAAGCTTCCTGAAACCTTCGGATTGCTCAATAGCAAGCTACTTTGTAGTGAGCTGCCTGGTAGCGAGCTGTTAGGCTGGGTTTTAGCGAGATCATTACGCTGAGTTGTAGCTAGGCTATCATGCTGAGCTGTCACTTACGTTGAGTCATGTCCACGTGTCGCCTAATTAGGAGGTTGGGTCAAATCACCCTTCATCAATTGCCCCCCACTCCTCGGGCTAAGGGTCTTGCTCTAGCGCGGGGAGTTCATTAAGTGACGAGTGGATTTGACCCGTAATTCAAACTACCTTGACCAACCGCGTGAGGTATACGCGCGGATGTCACGTGATTTATAGATCCTGCGGGTGCTAAAAAATGCGCTAAATTGCCTTCAGTCTCGGAGGACGTGCAATCGGTTCTACTATGAGCTGTTAGATTCGCCTTAATCGAGACTGTTGGTTTTTGGGCACAGTGGCTATAAATAAGAGGGCCCCAGGCCTCATCTTTTTTTACGCCAACTTGCCTTGCTTTCGATTTTAAGGTTGTGCCTTCGCCTTGATTGCTCGAGCTCTCCCTGTTCGCATCGCTTTTTTTAGTTTACTCTCTCCGGTGAGTCCTCTGCCTTATCAAACAATGTCTGGGTATCCGTACGACGGTGTCTTTTCCCGGGATGGTAATCAGGACGAGGTCCCCTCGAGCTCAGGGGGAGCTTGGGGGTTCCCCGAGGGGCAGGCTCCGGAGGCTCGGGAAGCCTTTGATAACTTGGCTTCCACTTCCCGGAGTCGAGAGCCAGATAGCTTCGGCCCTTCCTCCATGTCAATGGAGAGACTTCGGGCCCTGGTCTTCCAGTATGATCTCCCCAGGGAGCTCACTTATAGCCTCCCAATCGGCAACTATCCCTGGGAGCACGATCATGACGAGATTGTGATCTTTGAGGAGCAGCTCGTGGCTGGTCTTCGACTCCCTCTGCATCCTTTAATAATGGAGGTCCTCACCAACTTCAATGTCACCATAGACCAATTGCACCCGAACTCTGTTCGAAACTTGGTGGGGACTATTTCTTTGTTTATTGAGTACTGTCTTCCTCTATCCCTCGACACTTTTGCTTCCATTCTGTCGATCAAGAAAGCCTCCCCTTGAGCCCCTCCAGATAGGCGCTCTTATTACTTTTCCCTCCATCCTGGCTTCAAGCTTCTCCATGAGTTGCCTAACAGGATTCCGGCCTGGAAGCGGGGTTATTTTATAGTTCACAACCCCAAGGGGTGACCCTTTCCAACCCACTAGAGGGAGACCATTCAGGATCCGGGCGTTAGCTTGGACCCGAAGGTTCGAGAAACGCTGCAGTCCTGGGCGGAGGTCGGCTTCCTCTATTCGGATTACTTGGCTAAGAACAAGCTCATGCAGGCGGGCCTGAGCCCCGGTAGGTCACCTTTAGGTCTTTCTCTTTCTTTTTTTTTTTTGTGCTGTGCTAATGCCTTTTATTTCTTGCAACCAAAATGTCGGGTGTGGATGCGCATTGTCTCTTGTCGAGCTCCCAGAAGCGTAGGGCAAAGAGGTCTCGCCTGGACCGGGCGTCTACTTCTAGGGCCACCGAGTTCGAGGCCACGGACCTATCTTTTGTTCCACCGACGGAGGTCCCACCCACATCGTATGAGGGAGTAGCCACGGAAGGCGGTGAAGAAGAAGAGGTCCCACCTCCGGGGCAGTAACCTCTGGCCGTGTCGTCCGACCCCTCTGCCTTTCTAGGGTTCCCTACCAAGGGATAGGAGGAGAGCATCACCAACTTCCTGCTGGCTTTGCGGAAGATCCAGGAGTCAATCTTCCACGAGGAGGTCACAAAATGGTCCGGGATTCACCCTAGGCGGCTCTTGTGGCTGACCTCGTCCCATTGTATGGTGGTAAGTGCTTGCTTTTTCCCCTTCTCTTTTTGCCTTTTTTTTTCTTTACTTACCTTGGTTTTCTCTTGGCAGTTGAACTCCGCCATCCACGCCATGGTCTGTTAGACGGCCATTCACTCCCGGGACGCCCACCACCAGAGGACGGAGGTGCGGAGGCTCCAATGCGAGCTCGACCGGACCTGTGGTGAGGTCCTCTAGGCTCAAAAGGGGAGCGAGGCCCAAGGGCTGCTTGTCTAGGACCAAGAAGCGCGGGTCTCTCAGTTGACCGAGGAGAGCGCCCGTTATAGGGAGGAGTCCCCGAGGGTGGCCGAGGAAAGGGAGCGGCTTCGTCAGCAGGTTCAAAGTTTGGAGGCCATGCTCCATGAACGGACCCAAACCTTCGATGCTATTGTGGAGGAAGAGCGGGTCAAGGCGGTGGACCGCTTCAAAGAGTCCCCGGAGTTCCAGGATCTCCAGGTCGACTATGGCACGAAGTCCTACCGCTCATGGTTCAAGCTTTGCCAGTACCTGGTCCGGAAAAAGTTCTCTAGTCTTATTCTTGATGGCATTACAATGAAGGACCTGGCCCGAGAGACGGAGGACGCATCGGAGGAGGAGGAACCTGATTCCTTAGAGGAGACTGACGAGGATGTGGAGGCGGTGGACCCTTGATGCTGGGGTTGTTCTTTT